CATACATACATACATACATACATACATACATACATACATACATACATACATACATACATACATACATACATACATACATACATACATACATACATACATACATACATACATACATACATACATACATACATACATACATACATACATACATACATACATACATACATACATACATACATACATACATACATACATACATACATACATACATACATACATACATACATACATACATACATACATACATACATACATACATACATACATACATACATACATACATACATACATACATACATACATACATACATACATACATACATACATACATACATACATACATACATACATACATACATACATACATACATACATACATACATACATACATACATACATACATACATACATACATACATACATACATACATACATACATACATACATACATACATACATACATACATACATACATACATACATACATACATACATACATACATACATACATACATACATACATACATACATACATACATACATACATACATACATACATACATACATACATACATACATACATACATACATACATACATACATACATACATACATACATACATACATACATACATACATACATACATACATACATACATACATACATACATACATACATACATACATACATACATACATACATACATACATACATACATACATACATACATACATACATACATACATACATACATACATACATACATACATACATACATACATACATACATACATACATACATACATACATACATACATACATACATACATACATACATACATACATACATACATACATACATACATACATACATACATACATACATACATACATACATACATACATACATACATACATACATACATACATACATACATACATACATACATACATACATACATACATACATACATACATACATACATACATACATACATACATACATACATACATACATACATACATACATACATACATACATACATACATACATACATACATACATACATACATACATACATACATACATACATACATACATACATACATACATACATACATACATACATACATACATACATACATACATACATACATACATACATACATACATACATACATACATACATACATACATACATACATACATACATACATACATACATACATACATACATACATACATACATACATACATACATACATACATACATACATACATACATACATACATACATACATACATACATACATACATACATACATACATACATACATACATACATACATACATACATACATACATACATACATACATACATACATACATACATACATACATACATACATACATACATACATACATACATACATACATACATACATACATACATACATACATACATACATACATACATACATACATACATACATACATACATACATACATACATACATACATACATACATACATACATACATACATACATACATACATACATACATACATACATACATACATACATACATACATACATACATACATACATACATACATACATACATACATACATACATACATACATACATACATACATACATACATACATACATACATACATACATACATACATACATACATACATACATACATACATACATACATACATACATACATACATACATACATACATACATACATACATACATACATACATACATACATACATACATACATACATACATACATACATACATACATACATACATACATACATACATACATACATACATACATACATACATACATACATACATACATACATACATACATACATACATACATACATACATACATACATACATACATACATACATACATACATACATACATACATACATACATACATACATACATACATACATACATACATACATACATACATACATACATACATACATACATACATACATACATACATACATACATACATACATACATACATACATACATACATACATACATACATACATACATACATACATACATACATACATACATACATACATACATACATACATACATACATACATACATACATACATACATACATACATACATACATACATACATACATACATACATACATACATACATACATACATACATACATACATACATACATACATACATACATACATACATACATACATACATACATACATACATACATACATACATACATACATACATACATACATACATACATACATACATCATCATCATCACTATCATCATCACTATCACTATCATTTCCTATTTATCTGCAAATTGTTCTCATTTCTTCCTCTTCCTCTTTCCAGGTGATGGTCTTCGGCGGCGTCTTAAGAAAATGAGAATCTGCGAAGGTGTTTGTTGATTCACCGGAGAAGAAAGAGGTAAATATGGAGGCAAAATTTGGTTTAGATATTTGCATGTTTGTTTGTTTGTTTGTGTTTAGTGTGTGTATGGGGGGGGGTTGTATGTGTGTATGTGTGTGTATGGGGGGGGGGGTTGTATGTGTGTATGTGTGTGTATGGGGGGGGGGAGGGTTGTGTGTGTGTGTGTGTGTGTGTGTGTGTGTGTGTGTGTGTGTGTGTGTGTGTGTGTGTGTGTGTGTGTGTGTGTGTGTGTGTGTGTGTGCGTGCGTGTGTGCGTTCGCGCGTGCGTGCATATGAGTGTGTGTATGTGCGTTTACGTATGCATATATGTGCATTTAGGTGTTTACATCTATATGTATTAGCCCGTGTGCGCGTAAGCGTGTATACATGTAAGTATACATGCGTGTGCGTCTACGTGTGCGCATGCTTCCCCGTGTTTGCCTCCCCGCAGTGCTATCAGCCTTTATAGGTCTGACCGTTATGTACAGAGCACTCGAATGTTCTTTGGCGCCGCGACATCATTACTTCGCCGACGTGGCAATACTGCAAGCGGTGGATTGGCAACGGTTATTCTCGTTACATTGGCAATACTGTTGGCGCAAGATTGGCGACGGGTTTGGGTTTCGTAATGATAATCGTGAGGCTTCTGGATTGGCATTGATTGTTTTCATGGGTTGTTTGTCGTTTTTCTAATGTTGGTGTTTTTTTTTGTTTGTTTTTTTAAGTTGTTTGAGTGGAGTAGTTGGTTTATTAGTTGGCAACAGTTGTGATGAAGGTATTGGCAATGCTGCAGGTACATTTTCACTGCTTATAGATTTTCTTAAGGTTGTTTATTGTGTTTTATTATTATTATTATTGTAGCTTTCTTGAACTTAATATGGGATTTTTATATCTCCCTTCCCTTCAGAGAAATTATTCATTTCACCCAACAAATGATATATAACCAGCATAATCATAATTAAGTAAACAAAAAAACTACTAAAAATGCTGTATCCAATTGACTCAAACCTATGAATAATCCCAAACATTATACAAGAATTCAACAAAAATAATGAAAAAGATGGAGGCAGAAGGTATAGAAATCACCCCCACCTTTCCCCCCCCCCAACCTGCCCCCCCCCCCATCCCCCACATCTGCCCCATCCCCCCCCCCCCCCACCTCATCAGTGACGGTTACCTCATCAAGCTCAAGAATTTTGGCCTCTATGACACACAATGGCGCGAATATACGACATGTGACAGACTGAAGAAAGCGTGGGGGGGGGGGGGGGCAGACAAGCAGGCAGGCAGACAAGCAGGCAAGCAGGCAGACAGGCAGGCAAGCACACACAGGAAAGTAAGGAAGAGGAAAAGGAAAAGAGAGAAAAACAGGCGCACGCACAGTCAGGCAGATAGATTGATTGATAGATGGATAGATTGATAGATAGGTAGGGGCGGTAGGTAAGCGGGTGGGTAGGAAGATAGATAAATAGGTAAATATATGGGCAGGCAGATAGACAGACAAGCAAACAGCTGGAAAGCAAGTAAGACAAACAGGAAGAGAGAAATGCACGCAGACTCACACGCAGGTGGATAGATAAATAGCCTCAGGGATAGATAGATAGATAGGCAAACAGGCAGATAAACAGGAGATCAGTCAGGAAGATAGACAAAAAAAACAAGTAGATAGGTAGAGAAATAAACGCACAAACAGCCAAGGAAACGGACCAGAATGCAAACAGAAACAAACAGACGCAAACGGACACACTCCGGCGCCCTTGTCCGTTGAAGGATCACAATAATTCGCATTCTTGTTTGTCACCCCGTATCCTGCCTCCCCCCCCCCCTTCCCCCTCCCCCTCCCCCCCACCCCACTTCTCCCTCCTTCCTCCCTCCCCCACTTTAGCAACCTATTCTCATTCTCTATCCCTCTTTCCCCCCTTCTCGTTTACTCCCTCCCCTCCCCTCCCCCCCTTTCCTCTTTCTTCTCTTTTCCTCTTCTCCCTTATTCTTATCCCTCTCTTTCTAATTCTCCTCTGATCCTTTTCTTATCCTTCCCTGACCCTTCTTTTCTCTTTTTCCATTTTCTCTTATCCTTACTTCATTTCTTCTTCTTCGCTCCTCTTTTTATCCCACTTTTTCCTCTTCTCCCTTTTCTCTTCTCCCTCCTTCTCTACTTCCCTTATCGCTCCTTTCTTATCCTTTTTTCCTCCTCTTCCTCCCTTCTTATTCTCATCCCTCCCTCCTTCTATCCTTCTCCTCCCTTCCCTGGCATCACACCCTCCCCCCCTCTCCCATTTTCTTCTTCCTCCCCTCCTCCTCCTCCTCCTCCTCCTCCTCCTCCTCCTCCTCCTCCTCCTCCTCCTCCTCCCCCTTCTTCTTCTTCTCCTCCTCCTCCTCCTCCTCCTCCTCCTCCTCCTCCTCCTCCTCCTCCTCCTCCTCCTCCTCCTCCTCCTCCTCCTCCTCCTCCTCCTCCCCCTTCTTCTTCTCCTCCTCCTCCCCCTCCTCCTCCTCCTCCTCCTCCTCCTCCTCCTCCTCCTCCTCCTCCTCCTCCTCCTCCTCCTCCTCCTCCTCCTCCTCTTCCACCTCCTCCTCCACTTTTTCCCTCCTTCGAATCGAGTGCAAAGGATAACCAGCCTTACTACCGAAGATACTAAGGACTATATTTGAATGGGGTTTTGGGGGTGGAAAGCATTTTTGCGATTGTGGTTTAGTTATTATGCAAATGTGAGCCGGGCGTTTTGTATGTATATATTTAAATAGATATAGATAAGAAAAAAAAACATGATGGGGGAATAGATAGATGGTTAGGTAGATACAATTAATTAATATATAAGGGAGTACAGAAATTTAGAGGTATATGATAGATAGGCATATTTATATGGATGGATAGATAGATAGATAGATAGATAGATAGATAGATGAAACCACCCTCACCTTTCATACCCCCCTTTCTCTCTCTCTCTCTCTCTCTCTCTCTCTCTCTCTCTCTCTCTCTCTCTCTCTCTCTCTCTCTCTCTCTCTCTCTCTCTCTCCCTCCCTCCCTCCCTCCCTCCCTCCCTCCCTCCCTCCCTCCCTCTCCCTCTCTCTCTCGATCTATCTATCTATCTAACTGTATCTCTATCTCTCTCCCTATCCCTCCCTTCCTCCCAATTCCCCTCCTCCTCCCCCCTCCCCCCCAGCCCAACATCTTAACGACATTCATTAGACCTTTAAGACTTAAGACTTACTTATCTCCATTCGCAAAATGTCTACGAGAGATTATATGAATGAATTTCCGGTTACCTGTTACACACGCACCGAGATCCTACGGTAAGATAAGGTGGGTGAGAGGAGGGATGGGGGGGAGGGGGGAGGAGGAGAAGGTGGGTGTTCTGGGTTTTTGTTAAAATTGTTGGTATTTGTGTTCTTATAGTCCTTGTCATCATTATCGTCATCATCGTCATCATCATCGTCGTTATCGTCATCGTCATCATCATCATCATCATCATCATCATCATCGTCGCCATCATCATCATCATCATCACCATCATCATCATCATCGTCGCCATCATCATCATCACCATCATCATCATCATCATCGTCGTCGTCGCCATCATCATCATCATCATCATCATCACCACCATCATCATCATCATCGTCGCCATCATCATCACCATCATCATCATCATCATCATCATCACCATCACCATCATCACCAACACGTATATCAATATCTTTATTGTCATTAAGGCCAGCAGAAATAACAATGGACACAATCCTCCCACCTAAGCAATATCAGTAATAATTACTAGAAAAAAGTGAAAATAAAACCAATGCAATAACTCGTTTCATTATACATTCACCCCCCACCCCCCACCCCCCCAAAAAAACCCTCATCAATGTTATCAAAATCGAATCAGCATTATAAAATCACTCACCATGAGAACACACCATCGTAATCAAACACCCAGTCATTAAAACAACGTTATTTCAAAACTAACCGTAGAAGAAAGAACAAAGAAAAAGGAAAAAAAACAAAAAAAAAACAAAAAAAAAAAACAAATGAAAAAGATAAGAAAACCGAAGCATTATAAAATCACTCACCATGAGAACATCGTAATCAACCACCCATTAAAACAAAAACATAATCAAACACAGAGTTATTAAAACAACATTATTTCAAAACTCACCGTAGAAGAAAGAAGAAAGAAAAAAAAAGAAAAAAAAACGAAGCATTATAAAATCACTCACCACGAGAATACACCATCGTAATCAACCACATTAAAAAAAAAATCAAGCACAGACTTATTAAAACAACATTATTTCAAAACTCACCGTAGAAGAAAGAACACAGAAAAAGAAGGGAATAATAATAAAAAAAAAAATACGAAATGAAAAAGATAAGAAAAACGAAATGAAAAAGATAAGATAACCGACCTGCCAACTCTCTCCCTCTACTATCTATAAGCGACCGAATCTCTCATAAAGGCGGCCCACGATTGCTTTTAATCCCCTTGTGAAGTGGACTTAATCCCACTGTTAGCGGATCGGATCCCACAAACGAGACGAAGTAGAGGGAGGGCTGGGGGGGAAGGGGGGAGGGGGGGAAGGGATAGGAGGAAGGGAGGGAGGGATAAGGGAGGGATAGGAGGGAGGGAAGAAGAAGGAAGAGATGGAGAGGGAAGAGATAGAGGAAGAAGAGAAAAAATCGAGAGAGAGAGGGAGAGAGAGAGAGAGAGAGAGAGAGAGAGAGAGAGAGAGAGAGAGAGAGAGAGAGAGAGAGAGAGAGAGAGAGAAAGAGAGAAAGAGAGAGAGAGAAATTCAAAATAAAATCCTGTAATCAAAATAACAACGCCTCAACACCAAATCATCACAAATCCCAAATAACAAAATAAATCCATCATTCTATCTTTTCCCCAGTAAAGAAAGACCTCTAACAGAGGAGAGGGAAAAAAAATACAAACAAAAACCAACACAACCCAAAACAGTAAAGGTCGTCCCCGTAAATACAAATTTCTCTCCTTTAAAACGTAAATAACTCCCCCCTCCCCCCCTTC